CTCCCCTCCCCTCCCCTCCCCCTCTTCCCTTCCTTTCCTTCCTTTCCCTTCCCTCTTCTCTCTCCAAAGAGTCATCATGTCGATTGAGAAGATCCATGCCCGAGAGATCCTGGATTCTCGTGGGAATCCCACTGTTGAGGTGGACCTGTACACACAGAAAGGTAGGTGGGAGAGGATGGGAGTTGTGAGAAGGAACTTCCTAACCCTGTGGTGGAGGAGCTGGGTCTATATAGCAGCTTGGCAGCTATATAGAAGCCTGTCTAGAGCACAGAGTATAAATTTGCAGTAAAAAGTGAACTTCTGGCAAACAGCAAGCCAGGGTAAGTAGCAATTCTTCCAGTCTCTGCCTGTGGCTTTGTCCATGGCTCTGAGTGTGCATGTGCTCAGCACGTTTGCACATAGGGCTGGAAAATCACCCTCTGCCAGTGCAGCCCCCAGTGAGGAGGCATCTGCTGCACAGCTCATTTCCATCAAAAAGATCTCTTCCCCTCTACTCCGAGTGGAAGATGCTGGTATGCCACGTGATTTCTCCAGTGAATCTCAGCAGTGTGTGCTGTATCTCATCACAAGTGCTGCAATAGGTGTTGATGGGAAACCATAATGGAACAACTGACAGCTCTGTGTATGAGCTGTGTGACTAGTAGCAGCAGGGCCTGCAAATTTCACTAACATAAGTAATATAACTAACCTAGCATAACATAACATAAGTAACATAACTAACATCTCATTGTCCTGTGCATGCAATGCCCACATGCAGCTGTGGTTTTAGTCCTGTGAATTTGGAAGTACATCATGAGGTTGTGGGAAGATTTGTCCCCAAGGCCTCTGTGCAGGCATGCATGTGTGTATGGTCCAGCTGGAAGAGTGATGAATTGAAAGGTATGAGGAGTTGTGAGTGGCCAAAGAAGAGACTTCACTGGCCCCTTCTCTTCCTTTTTCTCTGGGGCCAGCCAGCCTCAAAAAAGTCAACCCTGATCAGAAAGAAAGGAAAGCTCTGGCGGCTGTGATTTCGCCTGCTTGCACCAGGTGCAGGCAAGGGTGCCAGAACAAGAGCTCAGCAGCCAGACATCCATGTGTCATTTGTAACCCAGGGACTGATGTGGGTTTCTTTGTGAATGAGATTCAGGCTGTTCGAGCTCTGTGCCTCAAAAGCTTTTGACCATGGGTGAATTTGTTTCTGTCACTTCAGTTTTCTGCCTCTATGAGGACCAGCCATGAGTGGCCAGGCTGGGGCCATGTGTTTGCACAATTGGTTACCATATTCTTTCCCATGAGAGTAAAACAGAAGCAATGCATGAGAGCTTTCCTTCCTCTTTATCTTCTACTCTTCTCACACCTGTGTTTTGTTCTCTCTCAGGCCTGTTTCGAGCAGCGGTCCCCA